CACTTATGCAGTTGAAGACGTACGACTCTGCATTGGGCACCGAGCCGATGTCTTGGACGACGAAGGCCATCATGGGGTCGTGGATTATGACGACGCGTGTGAATTTCTTGGACAAGTCAAGCAAGAAGGCGGAAAAGGGTTCGCGAAGGCTTAAGCAGGCATACCAGGCGGGCAGGAGATGAGTGGGAAACCTATGGGACGAGTCGGGGTTGGGTGGCGGGGAGTCAAAGTGTGGGGTCGGGATGTCGTGAAAGTGAATTTTTTGTAGGTCGTGGGGGTTGATGAGGTCATTGGCTCGGGACTGGGCTTGGCGGGAGAAGACGGGTGGGGCGACGTAGTGGACGGGGACGCCGTAAGAGGAGACGAGGCAGGAGAGCTGGAGGAGCTGGTTGAGGTGGCCCTGGGCCGGGAAAGGGAGGACAATGACAGCAACGTGGTGGTCCATGGTGGTAGAGGAGGGTTGGGTTTGGTTTTGAGGGTTGGTTATGAGGGTGGCCATAAGGGAGGTGATAATTTGAGATGTATGTAGTATTGGGTGTGGGGGTTTTTTCATGCTTGTGGAGTGGAGAAATAAGTTATATAGATGTGGGTGTGATTGTGTGTGCGTGAAATTGACAAATTTGCACACATGATGATGACATTTGTAGTTTGAATGTTGAAGTGGGTGACCATATGTAGCTCACTATGTAAGGTATACATCTCTCTCTTCTTCAGTATACTTTCGTGGCCAAAATGACCAAGGAAACTTGTCCTAAAGATAATATAATTAAACATTAATATATGTTTAAATTAAAGTAAAAATCAAATGAGATTTGAAGTTTTCTTTTCTCATATATATTTTCACTTGTTTAATTTGGATTGGTGGATTGAATTGTAAAGCGGCTTTTTGGGCTTGAGGGTTGTTGGGTTTGGGTCCTTAAAAAAGTTGGAGAGGATGGGTCCACCAAATCAATCATATAGATATATACAGCTACGTGAGCGATATTGCCTTCATAAAATGCAGCTTATGTCAGCGATCTAGATACAGCTTACGTCAGCGATATTGCCTTCATTTGCTTGCTGTGAAAATCCCTTAAAATATTTTGTGCAGGTGGTGAGCAAGTGGTCCAAAGAGTGGCCAATTGTTTTTTATTTAAACGTTTTACAATTATTCTTGTAATCTACTTTTAAGATTTTCTTTTACTAGATGACCTTAATTAATTTTTTCTATGATTAACTTTTTACATTGGCTTATGCACAGCGCCGGCTCTGTAATTTCAAGGGCCTATGAGCAAGCAAGAAATATGAGCTCATTGTTTTTAGGGCAGGATTCAATTCTTCTTCAGCAGACAGCCATACTCTTCAGCCGACTTTTTTTTACCAAAATACCCTCAAAATATTCACTCTACACTATACTACATGGGTTGAGGGTATAACTGACTTTTCACTTCGATCCTCTCTCTCTAACTCTCTCACTCTACCGACATTTGTTTAATAGTTTAGTTGTACAGATGAGATCCGTACAAGGCTTTTTTTTTGTCAATTAACATGGGCCTTCAAATAAAACAAAAGGCTTATTCAATATATTATATATACCAAATACTGTACAAGATTATATATATATATACACTACATACTTATATAATCTTGGGCACCCCCCATCTATGGGCCCCCGGCCGGTGCCCT